CTATTTTTAAGATTTTAAAAGTTTTGTTAATGCATGCTTAATACCGTTAATATAATATATTAAACCCATAAACACCCTAAACCTACGATGCGCATACATTGTGATCCGGGCCACATTAACAGTGACAAAAAAGTGACTATTAAAACATTAATCAGTATAGATATTAATGTTAAAATATTTAAAGTTTTGTCACTCATAGTGTGGCCCCAAATGGCTCCAGTGTGTATCGTAGTAACTAAACTATCCCTCTACAATGTAATTTAATAACATCACCCATAAATACTACAGGGTGTCAATGGTCATGCCCATCACTATCAACCCTGTATTATATTAATAATATTACAACAAAATTTAAAGGTATTATCTGACTTATTTTCATTGATTAAAATAACCAATTTGACAGCAGTGTAGCTCAATAATAAATAGCCTTAAAGGGCCACTCAGTAGGCGTCTCATATTTAGGTCATTAATAGGGGTGTGTGGGGCTTATTAACGATATTTTTCCACATTTAAAAATATTGTTACAAACAAATTACTATAATATTTTGTTCTGGCTTCAACTGACTATTACTAACCACTTCGGAAATAAGTGTACCAGAAAGCATGGACAATTTTTATTTTTAAATTGATTATTCACTAAAGTAACCAGCGTAAGCTTAATAATTATAAGAATATCTGTTTTAGACTCTTTGCGGTACATTGGTCATTCATTGGGCACGACTATTATGATCACATTATTGTCCACGATGCCAAATTATGAAGTCCATATAAGGCCATTCATTGCATACGCCCCCGTAATGGTTCTAGCACACATTAAGTCGAAAATATATCAATTCTTAAGACCAACAATAATTCCCATAATTGGACAATTTTTAGGGTAAGAACTACTAGTATAGCTCGAAAATAATTTTAACAAAATGTTTTATAAAAATTTTTAAATATTTAAATTAGTTCGTTGCCTCCATTTGCATTGGGGTTATCAAATGAAATGCGCCAGTTCCTCGGACAATATATCTGTAGCAATGAGCTAGTACAGCCTATTTGTGGCTCAATATTCTATGACTTTTTTGGATTCGACCCGAACGCCCAATGGCCGGTAAGTTAACCAGTTAACCCTGTACAAAAATTCATTAAGTTTTACAAAAAACAACATGCTCACAGAATTCAAAATTATCTATGTCACTTGTTTATTGAAATATTTTTAAAAAATTCTAAATTAAAATCATATTTATATATTATGGGTAGTTTTAGATGGTTTTATCAGATTTTTGAATTAAACGAATGTTTTTAATATTTTAAACTACCCTTACCGGTACCCTAAACTACATATCTATTCTTTAAAATAGAGACAAATTTCGTAGTTAAAATTATTATTTGCTTATCTAATTTCACCTGGAAAACTTTTAAGAAACCATAATCTTTAAAACACAAAATTTTATATCCAGCAATAAAATTGTAATGTAAAAATATTTTTAGAATTTTTCGAATAAATCATAAAACCAAGCTTGTCAGAAATATTAGCAAACGTATGAAATTTAACCAAGTTTATTCAGATTATTTGAGCAGATTAATTCATAATATTTAAATACAAGAATTTAAAGCAATTTAATAGAATTTCAAGTACAAATAAACTAATTTATATGCATGAGATTATTTAAATTACATTTCTACGTTCAAAAATAAAAAATTAATTCAAAAAATATAATTTAAAATTATAAATCACCCATGCAGAACGCACTTCCAGTTATGGTGGCAAAATTTTTAAATAATGTCTCATCATACATAATTGCGCAACTAATACAGAATGCTATTAATAATCAATTTCAAGAACTCGACCAAGGACCTGAAAAAAATTTAGCAACATACGGACAACTTATTGCACCGGATTACCCCGTTGGAAATATTACCTCCAGAAATATAGCTCTATACAAAGGACTTAACGACCATGCTGCTGATTTAGTCGACATAAACGAATTTATTTCAGAATTGAAAGGTATTTATTAGTAAATGTGGAAAATGCGTGACATTATACAATACTATATAATGTTACTATTTATTACTATTTATGTATGACTATTTCAAATTTATATGAATTAGTGCCATTGTTGGATAATTATTTGGTACCGTACCCATTCTGGAATCATAACGATTATATAACATCCATGAATAGTTATAAATTACTAAATGGACGAGTGTATAATTTGCTTAGAAATTATAACTATGAATAAATTGATGAATAAATAAAACTAACAATGTGCTTAACTGCAATAATAATATAATAAATTTTACGATAGCATAATCCTTTAGGCATTTAAGGATTCCTCAATTTTGTCGCATAAGTCATTGAGAAGCAATATGGACGGGGTCATTTCATTGCACTTATTTCGCACACATTCCACACGTATATTTGTAATACCAGCCTAGTTAGCAATATAAAATTATTAATTCTATTAAGTTATGAAACAATTTTCAAATAAATGAGAATACAAAGAGTAACAAAACTTTAAAAACTATTATATAACGAAATATTTAATAATATACATATAAAACATTGTGAAATAATATACAAACCTTGGAATCGGGCAAACAGTAGCCCTCAAGAGTTCTATCAATCATGTCGTTTAAATCATGTAGAAAATTCATCCTGATAATAATCAACTTTCCAGATATTTTTGCCCACTTTTCGGCTATCGTCGCCTTTAATATACGGGTAAACTTTTGGTTCGTATTTGACATATCGTCCAAAAACATTGACATCCGGACGAACATTATGTAAAAGATGTCCTCTAAATCCGATGCAATGAGGCCTTTGTTTGACAAACTTATAATATGTGTGACCAGGGTGCATATTTTGGCTTTCTTATCAGGCACTACTTTCATGGCCCGTACAATACGCTCGCGAACGGCGTTTGGTACCTCATTGGAGATCATACTCAGCATAAACTCAATCATGAAGTCATCGCTCCTCTGCTCGTCGATCACGTGTTCACCAAATTGCTCGACGATTACCCCCTTAACTGCCCTCCCATTCAGCACTAACTCCGAACAGAGGGACGCCGTATCAAAATAGCCCACCACATCGTATTGACCATTAGGGTCCAGTTGGTCCAGTAGGTCGGTGTAATACTGGCGCACCTGTACGCTGGTTGTCAGTGCGCTCACCTCCCGGGTCCAGTTGAGGCCAATCACCGGTCGATTAAGCCTTTGGGCCACAGTTTCAAGCAGTGAAAAGTTGAGGAATAGTGTTGGCATGAAATACACGGGCCGTCCGACCGTCTTATCGTTCAGTCGTATATACTTATCGACGAGAATCACAAACTTTTGCTTCAACATTGAGCTACGAAACCATTTAATTTCATCCACGTGCTGGCGTATATGGGTATCATTGCCCCTCGCATCATCGGGCATCATCGTACTCCTTAAACATACCAATGGTTACTGTTTTCAATTGGTTGAGAGTCAGGTTGACGTTCCACTGTTTGGCTAATAGTTGCTGTATTTCGATGGCAAACATGGACTCCAACCCAATCTCACCGAGGGTTAGGTGGTTGGGCGTAATGGTCGGATCGATGCCCAGTGCGCGCCATAGGTTTCCGGCTAATCGACGGCTTTCACTGCTTTCCGGGCCGACAGTGTTTGATGTGATGTTAATTTGCTATGAATTCATTAATTAATTTATAAGTTTATCAATCGTAAAGGACCAGAGACAATTATTGGCTTATATTAAAATTCTTAGCAATATAATTTTTAAATATAATCCTATTCTTGTCCGGGTCTTTTCGATTGCAAATCTTTATGACAATACGATCACATGGTGTTTGAATATACAACTTACATATGACGTGACAATCGGTGTATTAATTGCCAACAATTTGTCCAAAACATCGCAACACGAGTGGATCAGTTGTTTATGAAAGTTTTTCATTTGTATCAATTAGTCGGCGTCTGTGGACACTCCCACATCACCGATGGGTCCGTACTGTACGGACAGACCATGCAATCCATCTCATCGTCTTTGTTCACAAATGCGTTCGCACACAGAGTTCCCGTAACCGTAGTTAGTCTCACCTCTATTTCCTCTACCGCTGGCGACGGATGAAAATACGACAAAATAATCCAAATTATAGTCCAATTTTCGGGTCAATTGATCCAAATTTGCGAAAATCTTATGTTTGGTACCAATAGACGAACAAAACTTATCAAACGTTTGGTTCTCTAATAATTTGTCATTCAATTCAAGCGCCAAATGAAATACCTCTCCAATGGGTCCCAACTCGAGCCTCTTTTATGAGTTGTTGTATGCCTTCAATAGTCATACAATCGGCGGTCGATATGATATAATCGGATGAAAAATACTTAACATTTTTATAATAACTCAGAGCTCTGCTATAAATAAACCGTTGATAATCTGTTTTAATCCCCGCTCGAGAAGTAAAATCAGTTGTATTACACCGGTATTAAAACCAAATAAACCCTAAAATGACGTAAGATCTTATAGACCTGTCTCAGTCTCACATAACTTTATGAAAGTTTTTGAGTCAATACTTTTTAATAAGATCAATGCAATAGTTAGTTGTAATAATCTAATCCCGTATAATCAGTTTGGTTTTAGAACTCGATTAAGTACTGCAAACCAATTGATTGAATTGTTTTATGAATTGAATACAGCTTTTAATGATAAGAATATTCTGTGTATTGACGTTATATTCTTAGATTATTGATCAGCATTCGATACAGTTTCACATCCAATACTATTAAATGAATTAAATGAATGCAATTTACCTGATATTTACATTAAAATAATTGATAGTTTTTTAAGAGACCGAAAACAAATAGTTAAATATGTTGACACATATTCTTAAACATTTGATGTATTTTCTGGAGTTGTGCAAGGTGGTAAAATATCTCCACTTCTATTTATTCTCTATATTAGAAAAATTAATGATATATTAAAATACTTTAATTCCAAAAAATACGCCGATGATAATGTTGTTTACAAACACATTTGTAATTCAAATGACACCCATTTATTACAAACAGATTTGAACAGTATATCTGAATGGAGTGAAAATTGTAATCTATATCTAAATCCATTAAAATCAGTTCATATGAGAATAACCCTAAAAAGTCATTGGATTTACCAAATTACACATTAAATAATCAATTAATTCCTGTTAATACTTTACACAAACATTTAGGTATTAAAATCGATGACAAACTCATTTAATGAACATACAGAGTACAGACAATAATCAGAAAAATACTCCCATTTTCTGATAATGAAACCCTATTACGATTATATAAAGTATATATTATTTCTATAATAGACTATTGTATTTACGTTTGGGTGCCAACGGCTACTCAATGGTTACGTTTAGAAGCTATTCAACGGAATATTTCTAAACAAATCTGTTAAAAGGCAGATTTTTAATTATGATTATATAAGCAGACTTAAATTTCTATCAATAAAACCAATTAATGTTAGATATAATGTAAACATCATTAATTTATTATTTAAATCTATTAAATAACCTAAACTGGACACAACTATTTATGTTTTAAGTTATACCTGAAATGGTCCGAAATGTATGCCAATTCATACTCGGATTAACATTTGTGATAAAAGCGTTTTTATATATGCCGTGAATCTATTTAATTCACTACCTATTGTTATTAGATTTAAATGCAGAGAAAAAACTTTTGTAAAATTATGTGAAAATCATTTTACCTGTAATTTTGCTTTAAAATGAATTATTTAATTATACTGCGCTATGAAACGCCGAACGCTATGACGCCAGACGCTGAACAAAAACCCCGGATCTTATTATTTTATTATTGTTATAACTTTATTATTACTATAACTTTGTATATTTATATTTAATCACGTGTTTCATTATAATAAAGATTTGATTTGATTTGATAATGAACATATTATATAAAACATATTTTCATCAAGAACAAAATTATCAGTTATACAGTTATGCCATTAGATTTGTACAATTTTTGAAAATTTTATTTGTGACATGGATCATATTTTGAATAATAATGTTTATTATGAAGGACTCGATTCGATGAAGGATTTTGAATAATTTTATTTAGTATTAATTTGTTTGTGGTTTTAAATGAAAAATTATTTTTTGTTAAACTATAATAAAATCATTTGAGTCCTACTGTAGTAACTATATTATCAGTATTAATATAAGATATGATAATAAATTATGTTATTCAAAATAAGTATAAACCCATTTAAATTAAATTATTATATTAGTTAATAATTAAATGAATTAATTCAAAATATTTATATAAAATTTATAAAAAATTATTCAATAATTTTAATTTAAGAATTTTTATTCAATCCCTTGGTATTTAGCTTTAAAATATTCCGCAAAAAACGTGAAATCATTTCGTTGAATGAGTTTTAGTGTAGAACCCAATGAGGGATCACTTTTGAGACAATTCTCATGAATAGACCATAAGTNAGCGGGAATTAAAACAGATTATCAATGGTTTATTTATAGAAGAGCTCTGAGTTATTATAAAAATGTTAAGTATTTTTCATCCGATTATATTCCGATAATACTTGTGAACACTCGGGTCTGTCTGTCAAGTGAGGGCCGGGAATGTGCGGGTGTCTCCAGTTATAGTATGACATTGAATGCAATACTTGTGTTAATTTAATCACACATTTGTTTATAAATTCATTGTCTGAATACTTTTATAATCTACAGAATATATTCAAATAAATAGAAAACAATTAATTATTAAATAATTTAAATCTTAATTCATATTAACTTACCGCTTGTCTTCCAAATTAAGCCCAAAAATATTGTCTGCAATTTTAGCCAAACTATAGATATCTATCTTATGGTTATAGACCACTCCCTGACCCACTTCTGGCGCCTGATATCTCAGGTCTCCCTTATCTGACGAGTGCTGGTGAACAGTAGCTAAACCAAAGTCAGCCACTTGTAAATACCTGCCGTTCCTTACGGTCTTCCTATCTCAAGAAACATAGAAATGCGAACAAAAACCCCGCGATTTTTTTGGATTCTCCTTATACTCACAAAAAAGCTAGTATTATTTGTAGGATTGCCAAACCTCCAGTTTTGGCCTAGAGTCTCCAGGAATCGAGGTCTGACCCCAGGCTCCAGTTTGAGGTGTGACCCGCAGGTAGGAATCTCCAGGAAATAAATTCCCAACGATTAAATATTATATTTTAGGAACCTTGATCAAGTAAGATAGTTTGTAGTTTACAAAAGGGTTTAATGGTTATAATAAAATCTAAGATATTTTTACGACAACAATATTCAATAACTTTAAAACTTTATCAATAAAACCTGGGATTGATATGTTTGTATTGATAGTAAGAATTTTTGAATAATTGCAATTTTGTCAATTTTTTTAAAAATTCAATATATTTTTAGTGTTTGGTTAACTTCGTTTTTGTATAATTAACTAATTTGTTATTAGAGATATAAACACTTAAGTAAATAATTGCTAGAATATTTTATTAGATTTACGCAACTCATGTAGTTTAATGTGTGGTTAGCGTGCGGTTAATCGTAAGTTTATTTTTATCATTTGTTTATCTATCATATAATGTAGAAAAACGTGTATTAATATACAGTAGTAGTAATTCTTAGCTATTTAATTAATTGATATCTAATATTAGAAACTAATTGATTAAGTATATACGCTTAATAATGGGTCCAGTCTAGATCAAGATTAAATTTTTAAGATACTGATCCCCTTATTATCTCATTTACAAAGTATATAATAAGTGTTGTTAGTATAAAGTTTATAAATTATAACTTATTATTTGTAATCCACAATAATTATCAAGAATAACATTTTACAAAATTAGTGCCAATAATTATATAGTTCATAAATAAATGTTATTTTTGGTAATTTTCATGACAAACGCACTAAAAAATTAATTTACTATTAATACTAAATGGGCATAAATGCAAATATTATAAGTACCAATAAACTCAAAAATAGACAAATTAAGTTTAATGTCACACAAAAACATTAATAATAATGAATATACGGTATATAAATATGGATTTTATATTCAAACAGATTTTGAACCTAAAAAACACTCAAACTTTATGACAAACACTAGTTTTCAAGTCAAACACACGATTCAATGGACTTAAACATAACCAGTACTGGGAGGCAAACCACAAGCCTTACCCCTGGCCTAACCCCGGGTCATACACCCGGCGCACTAGCCATGGCTTGGATTGACCTAAAATTCAGCGGACAGTCAGTCCTACCCTGGAAGCCACCGAAAGCCATACTCAATGGGATCAGTGGATCGGTCGACTTCGGGAGCCTAACCGCACTTATGGGGCCCTCCGGGTGCGGAAAGTCTACTCTATTAAAGTGTATTAACGGCCGAAATATGGAGGGCTTAGACTCGGACACCAAAGTCTACCTGAGCTCAGCGAAAAAAATCCGCTCCTGTTTTATAGTGCAGAACATAAAGGAGCACCTGGTGGTCGGTTTGACTGGCCTCCAGTCCCTCATGTATGCCTCGAAGCTGAAGAATGCCGGAGAGCACCAGGAGGTGAACCACAGGAGGTACGCCAGAAAACTGTTGTCCGACCTCTCGATAGGCGATACCGAGGGTACAAATGTGGAGAACTGTTCGGGCGGTGAGCAGAAACGGCTGGCCATCGCCCAGGAGCTCATGGCTCTCAGGAAGCCTAACCTCATGTGTATAGACGAGCCCACGAGTGGTCTGGACAGCAATGCCGCCGAAATTGTGAGCAATAAATAAGACACGCCTTTCCTTATGATATATGATTACTGACTATAGCCTATCATCTCAATGGACAGGTAGTACAGGTGCTGAAACAGTTGTCCCGACAGCACGAGATTGCGATCGTCACGAGTATCCATCAGCCAAATAACGACACTCTCATGCTTGTCGATGGGGTGTATGTGTTGGCTAAGGGAGGCCTATGTGTCTACTCCGGACCCCCACTACAGGTGCGCGCCTACCTAAGCGCGGCTCAGTTCGAGTGTAATGAAAACCAGGTGCCCATCGAAGTGCTACTGAGAATAGCCTCCAAATACGACTCCAGTGTCCAGCGGCTGTCCCACCAGTCCATGAAAGCCAAGAGTGAGCTGAGGAACCGGTGCCTCGCAGAGGGCCGTCTCTCCCCCAATGGGGTCGCCAACAAAGGGAACGCCTTTCAGTTGCGGCAAATGTGGTATCTATTG